TAGGCCTACCTCACAGCAGTCTGCACTGATAGGTGCCATACACTCGCCCTACTTAATCACGCCTCTCCTTGCGCCCGCCGACGTTATCACTAGTTCAGTCAATTTAGCTCCTATCGCCAACGCTCTCTCCCCACCCCGTTTCTCTCGCCTACGTGATATCTCCGATTATGGTGGCCACGCTTACAGCACTCCACATGCAAAAGTTACCTACACTGGCTCTTGCGTTCCACGCAATCGTTTGCACTTGAACAAAAATTGGAGATGCAGCTTCTGTTTACCCTCTGCCACCCACATTTCAGGCCGTGGACCCCATCTACCTGGCGGCGGGGACAAAAAGTTGACGTGGAGCAATTCACGCGGACAGATATCCTACACTCGTGCAATCGAATCGCACCATCATTTAACGTCGTCAAAACGACTGGAAAAGTAGCCTACACTCACTCTACTTATACACGCAAACTATTGCACTCGTCAATATGTATACTTGTGGTTCGAACACTTGTCTGACTGTCAGTATAGAGTGTAACCCAATGCAAGATTTCACAATGATAGAAAACAGCAAAAACTGAAAGGTATGTAAAATATTACGGAAAATAGTTAAAACCTTAGTCTTATATACACGAGGATAAAGTCCTACCGTTGTTGTTAGTGCTTTCGATGTCTGGGGACAATCAAGGCAAATGGAGGCGAGAATGTTAAAGGTCTCAAATAGTCGGGGACCGCCACAGTACCCCCTGCTAGACGGAAGGCGGCGTTTATAAACGAAGCCGAAGGAGTCATATAGAAGTCTAAAAATGGTGAGACACAAGCCGGTCAGGGAACAGAAGGTGGCGTCCACTGCGGGTAATGTGTGCAGGAGGCGAAGAGCAAAAGTGACAGGAATGTTGGAAGTGACGGAGGTAGGAGTAACTGTCGATGGCAATGGAGATGATGGAAGAGGGAACAAACGGTACAGAGGAATAGCGGGTTGGGAAGCAGGGGAAGTAGAAGCAGAGGGCTCGTCCGGCGGAATTTCCGGAACAGCGGCTTTGAGGCGGTCCACGCTCACGAAATCCTCTCGTGTTCCGCGAAGAATGCGGAAGGTTTTCTCACCAAGAGAGACAACCCAGAACGGGCAATCATAGGGAGGATGCAGCGGCCGGTTAACTCTATCACATCAAAAAAAGATATGAGAGCACGTCACCAAGTCATTTTCGAGATAAGATTGGGAGACAGCAGACCTTGGTGGAACCGAGGACAGCGTCCGCAAAAACTGCCGGAGTCAGTCAGTCAGTCAGTATATTTGAGGGAAAAGTAGGCTTTCGCCTTTGACCTCCCTATTTGTCACATCAAAATCTCAAGAATTATAAACAATGTTAACAAGT